CAAGCACGAGAAGAGAACGGCGAAAGTGAGAAAAAATAGGTTTAATATTCACAGAGTTCTGCAGAGCAATGCAAGAGTTGTTGAAAATTTTAGTCAATTCATAAATATCGTAGTCATTAATAGATAAAATTTTGGAAAATTCGATTCAATTGTTGTCAAAAAAAGAATTCAAATCGAGAGATTCATCATCACTGCTGGAAACGTCATCTTCATCACTTATCGAAAGCTCGTCGCTTTTGCTTCGGTCCTCTTGACCAGCCAAAGACGAAGTCTCCGAAAAGTTTTCTTCAGACGTCGTGCTGTGAATGGATTCTTCCGAAGATCCTGTATCGAGAATCAAATCACAATTCATGTTCAAAAAAAGGAACCAAAATGGCGGGCGTGCCACTTTTCCGTCGAAATGCGTCGGGCCATTTGAGGAATCTTCATCAACATAGAGCTCCTTTGTGCATCCAGACTAGCCAAAGCTCCTTCCAGAATTCTAAACTCGTGACTTTTCTATAAAATGATTACTTACTCTTTCAATTCTTCAGGACTCCGTGAGCAGACGTCTTCGAGAGAAAAAAGCTCACGTTCTTCTAAACTTCAAAATGTAATTTTGCCGAGCAGCTGATTTCCAGAAAAATAAATTATATAGAAGTTTTTTTATTTAACAAAGGGGCTTTCTTTTTCCCTCTCAGGTCATATGAAACTTTTAACACTCACGCGAGGATTTTCGGACAGACTAAAACCTCATGTATAGAAATTCTCAGCACCTACGAACAGAATGATCTCTTTCACAAGCGCGTCTTTCTCAAAATCTTCCGAATAATCTTTTTCCAACATTTTGATCTCTTCAACTTCTTTCTCATAGTCCCGTCTCCTGAAAAAATTGTTTCATAGCCGTGTTCAAACTAATTTCCGCGTAATGCAAAATTATCTTTCACTCTTCAAAATCTATTTATCTTTTTCTTTTGCCGAAAACTACATTGGATTTCGCGGAATCACTTCGATGATGCCGTGTTCAAAGTAAAATCCAAAATAGCCGTCAAAGAAAGAAAAATATAATTAGATTTTGGAGAGTGAGACTTCCGCGGAAATTACTTTCAACATGGTAATACTTTTTGAAGAACACCTACCATTTTTTTGTTGTCGTGGAATGAACGCCATGTCTTCAAGTTATCATGAACATAGTTCTTCGTAGAAGGAGAAAGATTCTTAAAAACAAAAATTAATATTTATTTATTCACTTTACCTCCACTACCTCTTCTACGGGTCGGAAATCGTCTAAATTAAACATTTCGATAATCTCGGGACCGCTGAAGTGTGCATATGAAGTTTAACACAAATTGCGCTCTGAACTGAGTGATGATATCGAGATGGAATTGCTTCCAGTGCCTCAGCGACCGTGTTTCCATATCTATAAGCTTCAACTTTTTATGTAACGCTCGTAACTTTTTGTCCAGTGGTTCAATCGACTTTCCGACAAGTTCTGAAAATTTTTATTCATAGAAAAGTAAGAGAATTAAACCTTTGTAAAACTTAAGACTTCCCTTCAGAGATTTCAAAAATGCACAGCATTCCTTATCTGAAAATCCATTTCATAAGAAAAAAATTCTCATTTGAACCAAAATGCTTCTGGAGATTGCCTATAGACGGGCAATGAACATGTGAAGCATCTGAAAACAGAAATTCAAGTAAAATATTTTCAAAGAAAAGTACCTTTTGGTTTTACTTTTCGTTGGCTGTTGTGCATTTGCCGTCTATCTTTTCGTATAGACATTCTTCTAGGAAAAGTATTCAACTTCAAAAATTACAAAAAAATAACTTTTTGACATTTTTGGAAAGAAAAACCTACAAGAGTTCGAATTAAAAAATCAAAAAAAGTGTCCGAAGTAAGTTCAATTTGAGAAACATTTAAAAAAAATCACGTGATCATTTTTTTATATAGCTCAAAAACGACATCTTCTGGAAATTTATATTAGTCGGAACATACATCAATTACTCTAAATTTAGAAATATTAAAAGCATTGTCCCGATGAAAATTCCAATAATATATAATAATATGGCAAGAGTAACGCTATGCCGCGGGCATTATTGCAAGCCTCTTGCTGCGTCTTGAAAAACGTTTTTGCGCTATGTAAATCTCTAAACAATTTTTCTTCAAAAATTTTCTCTTTCATCTTGTTCCATCTTGTTCATCTCATCGTATAAGTCGAAAAATAACACAAAAAAATATTTTTTTGAATTTCAAATTTGAAAAGGGAACATAGCATGCTACAGCTAGACTATGACGATGTCGCAGCCTCATTTTAAAGAGTTTGCAGTCAGAAGTTTCAGCTATATATGTCGTGCGTCTCTATTGGATACAATCTGTTCAGAAATGTCAAGAAGTGATCGCTCAAACTCCGCCCCGTAAGAATAGATCAAACCAATCAGAGAACGAGCCACCCAGAGCGTTTTTGGAGGGCGGAGTTTGCTGTTTGACATTCAAAATCTGAACAAACTATATAGTCAGTTTTTGGGTGTTAAGACAGTCAGAGATTTCTCATTATTCCACGGTGTTTTTTTCATTACGCAAGGTCATGACTTTTCGTAAATTATGATGCTTAGGGTGTAAGCACACCGAGACGCACTATCGCATACTCAAAATGTTTTTTTCAATTTTAGAATTTGCGATTTCAGGATAATAGCTCCTGAAATGTTCGAAATTTGTCATTTTGAAGAATATGATGTGAAAAAAACATTCACTTACGTTAAAAAAACATTTAGGAACGATTTCGAAAAGGGGAAAAACTCTAAATTACTGATTACAAAAATAAAAAAACAAAAAAATATTATGAAGGTGAATCAGCTCCCATTGAATAAGCATTTATAAATACGAAAAAAATATTGAAATGAGGAAAAATTCGAGGAGCAAATGAAAACATTTTATATACCTCGAAAAACCTAGCTTTCAGAAAAAAACAAATAATGGATAGAAAGCAGAAAATTTTAGAAAAACCTCGTATGGCGAAATTTTTTTGTTTAAATCTGAAAAAACCATCAAAAAAACTAGAAAAAAATATAATTTAGATGATGCATATATCAAAAATCATTAAACTACATCAGCAAATTCAATTTGGCTCTAATTTACACGAAACCGGTTTTCAAACTACGTCAAAGGAACTAGATAATAACTTTTTTTATTATTAACTGATTAAATTGAAAAACTATAGTTTCCGAAATAGAGTGACTCTTTTCCATGTCGCGAAACAGATTTCAAAATTTTTGAAAAAAATTAGGACTTTTAGAAAAAAATCTTCAACTCTTTTTGAGAAAAAAAGTTAAAGATCTGAAACTGGTTTAGAAAAAGTGCGCAATTTAAAAGCTCCACAAGATGTACCCATAGAGAGGCGGATCACATAAATGCAAGAAATAGAAAAAAGTAAAAAACCAAGGAAAAAAGTGAAGAAATTCAATTTTTGCATCAGAAACCATGAGAAGGGCGCAATAATGCGCCATGGATAATATGCCGCTGGGACCCAAAATTTCGCATTTTTATTTCATTGCGCGGAACACCGTGATTCCGAACATCACGAAATAAACACGGAGGAAGAAACCTTACCCAAGAAAAAAAAAAGAAGTGAGTACAACTGAAAAGAAAAAAAAACAATCCACAGGCGTGCTCAGAGGTGGAGGATGGCTGCCCACTGGCCGCCCTGCCTGCCAAGCCATGAACGCCCAAAAGCAGAAATGACTTTTTCAATAGTAAGTCAATGAATCATTTCTATCGCTTGGCCCAGTGGCTTGGCTTGGCCGCCAAGCCAAGGGCTGCCTTCCCTATCCTCCACCTCTGGGCGTGCTCATAGGAGAAACGGAAAATGCTTCAAAACGAAAAACCGTGTTTATCGGCGCGCCTAAGTTGCTCGGAAACAATACTAATTTTTGTTTTGGAGCAATTTTTGCGTTTAGGACAGCACGCATGTTCAAGGCGGCCGGTCGTATTACGGTAATCAAGCTAGGTTTTTGGGTAACAAAATGAAAAATTGGGTACTTTTTGTGACGTAACTTATCTTGTAACCTCGAGAAATAGGCCCTTAACAAATTGCAAGAAAGAAAAAAAAAATTAAAAAAGTTTCCTGGCTCCGAAACTGACGGCGCAATATGACCGGCCGCCGTACCACTGTCTTATATAAACATGCGTGACAGGCTTGTGCGTGAGGCCTGGCTCAGGGCATTGGCCCTTATTTTTTTGAGAAAAAGTCTCAAAAAATACGGGCTTGGAAAAAAAAAATTTAAAATTTCATTGAAAACATATCCACCAAAAAATTCTTTTTTTTTAAATCGTAGTTTTGTTGAGCTCTAAGTCGAAAAATGTGACTTTTGTCGTAAAATACTTGATATTCGAAAAAAATTGCGCTTTTTGGGCCTTGCCAGCGATTTTTTCTTGAGGCTCCGCTAAGGCCGGGCCGGGCTCAGAAAATAGCCGGGGGCCGAGAGGCTGACGGGACGATTCCTAGAATCGCACAGAAACGTCCGGAGCACGTCCGTTTTGCGTTACCACTCCGACAACTGCGC